TATGTTATCAGAAGGAGGCAGCAGAGATTGTTTTCTGCACTTCTTCATTTGTAATGATTGATATTGAAAATTAACTTTGTATGACTGCACATATGCGACACAGTCATGTGACACCACCCGGCCGCAAAAACTTTATCTAATGCACACAACATTTTCATTCACTCCTCCTGCCCCCCCCCCACCCCCTGTCAGAGTTCCAATTCAACAAACAAAGGCAAATAAATAGATGTTGAGATAAACATGGCTGCTGTGTGTTGTGTGTGTGTTGGAGGAATTATTGGGGGCTCACCGTCCAGATGGATGACTTCTGGAGGAGAGTGTATTTATTTTTCAGTGGGCGACATCAGGAGATTTGTTATTCCCCGGCGTGGCTGAGTTTTTTTACATTGCTCCACATCCCAGAGGTAATATTTCATCCCCACAACCCCGATCCCCAAACAGATTTATTTAGAGGCTCTGTGTCTCTCTACATATGCAGGGTTCTAACAGGCACACACACACACACACACACACACACACACACACACAAACACACAAACACGCGCGCACACACATACACGTACTGTTGAAGACACTGAGGACCACATATAGACCTAATCTGAAATGTGATCACACACCACAGTGGTGCAGCTTCACACAGACATTTGTTTTTATCCAGTAACAATTAGTCATTCACCAGATAACCGCTGTGTTCAGGTCTACAGGTCTACAAGTCTACAAGTCTACAGGTCTACAAGTCTACAGGTATACAAGTCTACAGGTCTACACGTCTTCAGGTCTACAAGTCTACAGGTCTACAAGTCTACAGGTATACAAGTCTACAGGTCTACACGTCTTCAGGTCTACAAGTCTACAGGTCTACTACACTTCAAGTCTACAAGTCTACAGGTCTACAAGTCTTCAAGTCTACAAGTCTACAGGTCTACAAGTCTTCAAGTCTACAAGTCTACACGTCTACAAGTCTACAGGTCTACAAGTCTACAGGTCTACAAGTCTACAGGTCTACAAGTCTACAGGTCTACAAGTCTACAGGTCTACAAGTCTACAGGTCTACAAGTCTACAGGTCTACAAGTCTACAGGTCTACAAGTCTACAGGTCTACAAGTCTACAGGTCTACATGTCAAATGCACTTTACATTATTTCTTAAACCCGACAGTTTGTAAATCTTCATCAATCAAATCACTACTGTCTCCAGGCTCAGGGGGTCACTGTTGCTACTGAAGGTCAGCAATGATGACCTGCAGCTGATTATGTTAAAATCCAAATCCAACTCCAGTACCAGTGAACCAGTGTGTGGAAAGGTCGTTGACCTCTGTCTATGTCTATGTAAATGTGGCTTTACTTTCTTACACTAACCGGACCCTCATGGCTAAAGACCAGTACCAACCAATGACGACCAGCTGAAGAATGTTGACAATGATGCGGACGCCCAGTAGAATCCATCATCATGAAGTATTACACGAAGTAACGGCTGATGTCAATCACAGTTCACTACAAAGAAAAGACAAAGAAAAGCCACAAACACCAGCCAAAGCAGCAGCTGAAGAAGCTAATGCTAATAATAATGGAACTTATTTTAGAAAAAAAAAAACAGGTAAAGTGAAGAAGCGTCTGTAGACTGAGTGGATTGTTCAGGCTGAAGTCAGACAGTAAATAAAGCAGCCGTTACATTAGGTGATGTAAGTGAACAGTGCTGCCTCTGTGGCTTTAGAGTAGGCTGGGTGTGGTCCAGTGGTGAGGGAAATGGCCGGATGACCTGAACTCTGCTGAGTCATGTCCCATGTGAGGGATAGAGCTGCCTATGCTGGGCTCCGGAACGTGCACTTAACCTGCAGTAATTACTGGAAACAACACTGAGAACATGGCAACATGGAGCTGGTGGAATCGGCCTGAAGATTTTAAATTAGCCAGAGCCTCCAGAGACACGCTGCGGGAAATCAGGAGTCAGACAGGAGTCGGTCACATCCATGGTGCACTCAAGGCCTAAACCAGGTGTAGCCAAAACATCAAAACACACAAACATATATATACAGTATAAAAAGCTTCACTGTGACCCCTGGGGGGTTTTCAAGATATTCAGCCACCAGAGTTTAATTCCCAGTAAAATCTTGTAGGAAGCATCAGAACTCAGAGGGTGCAGGTGAAAGAAAAGAGTGGAGACGAGGAGTAAAGAGAGTTAGAAGAAAGGGAGACGAGTCGGAGCGGTCAGCCTCAAAGAGCAGCAAAAAATCATTAATCTTGTGGGGATCTGTGTCACAGAGCGGCGGCAACATAAAGAGCTATCGGAGCAGTGAGGAGAGCGACTCACTGACCCTGAGCCAATAGGCTGCCAAAGGCCCAGCAGCCTCTAATAGACTTTTGCTGATCCGACACTTGTTAGCTGGGAGCCACAAAGAGGCCAATGCACCGGCTGACAGGGGCCCGCAGGCTGGGGGGCTTCCCTCCTGCTCCATGATAGATGAGCCAGGGTGGGTGAGGGCAGAGCTGGGGTAGAAGGGTGAGGGAGCTGAGGGGTAAGGAGGTCACACGGCCAGGAATTAGGGGTGAGGGACAAAAAAATGCAAGAAGGGTTAAAGAGTTTAATGAATAAAAACGTCATCTTTGGAAAGAGGAGGGGTGAGGAGGAGAGGAGGAGAGAAGGAGGAGAGAGTTATAAATGGTTTCTCTTCAGTTGTTTACATTTGATTTTATTATATTTACCACTGTGTTTCACAGAGAGGTTAAATACAGAAGTAGTGTGTGTGTGTGTGTGTGTGTGTGTGTATAGATATATACTGTATGTAACTATGTGAATGTTTGTGTGTATATGTGCATGTGGCAGATGTTCAACAGTCAAACCTGTTGTATCATAGTGAGAACTGAGGCCTGCGGGGGGAGGGCGGTGGAGGGGGGTTACATCATCATAGGTTCACATAAACAGGCTAAATGTATTCACATTAGAATTCACACCACTAACCTCAAGTGTGGAGAACCCTGGAGAACCTGGAGGAACCCCAGCTCCACACAGTGGTCTCTCTGACGTCACAGTTCCGTTCTAAGACCCACCATGAAGTAGAGGCGAGATACTTATTATATTATTGATGTTTATATTTAGCTCTCTACAAATCTCCCCCCACTGTTATCACCCCTCCCTAGACTGTATCACCCCCCCCCCCCCCCCAACCACCTTCTCACAAGAGCAGTGGGGAATACATAAAAAAACA